CCTGTAATCCCAGCTACTCAGGAGGCTGAGGCAAGAGAATCACTTGAACCCGAGAAGTGGAGGTTACAATGAGCCGAGATTGCACCCCTGCACTCCAGCCTGGGCAACAGAGCGAGATCTTGTCTCAAAAAAATAAAGAAAAAAATAAACTGCACACAGAGGTTTCAGAAAAGTTTTTAAAAAAGAAAAAGATAATGAGTGGAAGAGGATAATGAAAATATAACCCTAGGATAGAAAAACAGCAGCACCACCAAGCTCAGGACCAGAGACTTCATATTCAGTACTAATGAAGAGTATTGGGTTGAAGCTTTTCTCTGCTTGGTCTGTGCAAAGAAGAAAGGGGGTTAGCCTAGCATATAACTAACATGAAAAGCATTATCATGGATTCTTGAAATAACCATTATGATTTTTTTTTTTAGATGGAGTTTCACTCTTGTTGCCCAGTCTAGAGTGCAACGGCGCGATCTTGGCTCACTGCAACCTCCGCCTCCCGGGTTCAAGCAATTCTCCTGCCTCAGCCTCCTGAGTAACTGGGATTACAGGCATGTGCCACCATGCCTGGCTAATTTTTGTATTTTTAGTAGGGATGGGGTTTTTCCATGTTGGTCAGGCTGGTCTCAAACTCCTGATCTCAAGTAATCTGCCCACCTCAGCCTCCCAAAGTGCTGGGATTACAGGCATCAGCCATCGCGCTCAGCTGTAACTGTCATCTTACTTTCATAGAGGATTGTATGATAGCTTTAATTTTTTAATCTTGTAGGATTTGGGGGACAGATCTACTCCTTCTTCCCAGTGATGGGTCATAAGAGAATGTCTTAGAAAAATAGGAGGTGACAAGGCCAGGCGCGGTGGCTTATGCCTGTAATCCTAGCACTTTGGGAGGCTGAGATGGGTGGATCACCTGAGGTCAGGAGTTTGAGACCAGCCTGACAAACATGGCAAAACCCTGTCTCTACCAAAAATACAAAATTAGCCGGCGTGATGGCACATGTCTGTAATTCCAGCTACTCGGGAGGCTGAGGCAGGAGAATTGCCTGAACCCGGCGAGCAGAGGTTTTGGTGAGCCAAGGTGGCACCACTGCACTCCAATCTGGACAAAAAGAGCAAAACTCCAACTCAAAAAAAAAGAAAGAAGGAAAGAAAAGGAAGAGAAGAGAAAGAAGAGAGAGGAGAGGGGAGGAGAGGGGAGGAGAGGGGAGGGGAGGAGAGGGGAGGGGAGGGGAGAAGAGAGGAGAGGAGAGAAGAGGAAATAGGAGGTGACAGCAAGTCAACAAGGGCCCTCTCTTTTATCTACCCAATTCCTCTGCAGGGTCTGGCTTCTCCCCTATGATCTCCCGCCTGCTGGAGGTTTGCAACAGGGTTAGATAAACATACCTAGAAGCCCTACTTAACAAATCAACTGAGATCTGAAGTAAAAACTTATAGTTCAAGAGGGAAGATTGGGTTTTAAAATAGGAAGAGACACTCAGTGCTTCTGCCTCTCTGAGAAACTTTACATAGTGCTGTTAATGAAGGCGGTGGCCTTAGGGAAGCGGTATGATGTGGGGACCGCACACAGTACAGGGTAGGGCAGGCCTGCTTTGAATCCCGGCACTACGGGGCTCTGTGGCTTTAGACTTCCCTGGGCCTTAGTTCCTGTATCTGTAAGGTAGGGGTCACAGGGTTCTGCTGAACAGTTCATGAAGATATAAATCAAGTGCCTAGCAGAGCAGCTGCTTACAGTAAACAGTTCTTTCTCTTTTCCCAGCCTTTCCCCGCCTCCCCAGATTTTCAGACTAAGAAGAGATGCTGCTGGCTTAGAATTTTCCACGTGGAAGTAAAGCCACGCCAAAGGGTAGACCGCCTTTAGATTTCAAAAGCAATACAGCTAGAGGCCGTAGAGACTTCCAGAGGCCTGCAGTGCAGCTGGGAGGGGCAATGGGAAGGGTCAGGTGGGGAAGGAAGTGCTGAGAATCTGGCAGCCTCTGAGAGAAGGTGAGGCCCAGTCCAGAGCCTTGCCTGGTCACAGCGTCAGCTGGGTCACCTTCACCTTTCTGTACTTGTTGCTTTGTATTTTGCTCATCTTGTTTTTGTAGTAAAATCACTCTTGAAAATAGTTAAGCCACTTGTGAGTTTGTCAGGGAGTAGTGCCTCACTCAGGTAGGAGGATCAGCAGTGTGTTTTGGTGACTGAGTAGCCACCAAGTCAGATGGATTTGAGGGGATGGTAAGGAGCAGGAAAATATAATTAGGGGCTTCCCTGGGTAGATTCAGAATTTATGAACCACCAGTGTATATTACCCAATGGAATGTTTAAAGTAATAGTGCCATATATGTTCATAGTGGTCCATAATCTAGATTTCTCATTCCTTTGAATTGGCCTTTCCTCAATTTTTCTGGATTATTTCATATTCATTACATTAATCTTTTTCACCAAGTCTTACTTTCCTCCTTCCTGCTTTCTCCGAACAGAGAAGGAAACAGAAAAAAATCTAAAGACTATGAACAGACATAGGTGGAGGAGTGCTGTGACATTGGAAAAGCGTGTTGTTTCAAGAGGTGGCAGACCCTGTGCGCCGAGTTTGCATTACCCGGTACTATGAGATCACCCACACGATAATAAGAAAGGCCCAGGCCCAGAGTTATATCAGCCCTGTGTCATTTCTCTAATGGCCACTGAGTGCTTAAGTTTTCCACACATTCATTCCCTTGTGCTTCTAAGAGATCTGTGACCCATGGAGACCCCATGCAGATGGGAACAGAGAGCAATGCTTCCCTCACTGTAGCATTTGCTCCCCCTTAAAGTTTTTAAAAGACATGTTAGAGACACTAAAGGCCCAGCAGAGTACACTCATTTTCTTACCTTAATGAAAATCTAAGTTTAAGGCTTGCCAGGGGTTCCCTATTGCTATGATCTAAATGTGTGCCCCCAAATTCATGTGCTGGACACTTAACCCCCAATGCAACAGTACTGGGAGGTGAGGCCCATAGTGGGTGTTTAGGTCTGAGAGCTCCACCCGATGAATGGATTATTGCCACTACAAAAGGTGCTTGAGGGAGTGGGCTCTCCTGCTCTCTCCTGCTCTTCTGCCACATGAGGCTACAACATTCCTCCTCTCTGGAGGACACAACAATAAAGTGCCATCTTGGAACCAGAGATTGAATCTGCAGGCACTTTGATCTTACACTTCCCAGTCTCCAGGACTATGAGAGAATAAATTTCTGTTCATTGTAAGTTATCCAGTCTGTGATATTCTGTTATAGCAGCACCAAGTGAGCTGAGACATCTGCCATCACTGCCTCTTCTCTTTTCAAAGACTTTCTGGAACTCTTTATAGGCCCAGACATCCCAAAGTGGAAACAATAAATCACTTACCTTAAATCCTAATCAATCTGAAAAGCAAAGGCAATGAGTGCATGGATACCTTCTCTCTTTGGAATTCCTCTTTCCATCAGACCCCTGGAATGTGGCTTTTATCTTCAAGATCAGAGAGATGTTAATGACATATTTTCTTTCAGATTCAAGCAGTTCCAGGGCCACAGTCTGTCTTTTAGCTTTAGAAATAAACCAAAGAGGGACTTGATATTAACCATTTCTTCCTAAAATCCTATGAAATGCAAGCAATAAAAAGCAATAAAAGGATATTGAAAGCAATAAAAAGAACCATCTGCAAGTTTTTGAAAGGTAGAAAGCAGAATGGAGGCACAGTAATTAATTCAGCAAAGCAAAGGGCACAAAGTCTTGGTGTCCCCATCTGCAGATGAAAAAGCTGCTGAGAAGCAGCCAGAAAGCTCAAGGATTGGAGACATCAGGGGCAACATAGAAAGTGCAAATAAGGGGCAATGCTGAAAGCAGGAGCGATTGTTGAAAGTCTACACAGGGGGCAATTGAACCTCCAGATCCTCACCCCCATGCCAGATGGCTTCCTCACTTCCTCCCCATGGCAAACAAGAAAAATGAAACTAGAGAAGTCCTGGCTTCTGGGATCTGGGCTAAAGACTTTAGACATAGTAGAGTTGAGATGCTAAAATGAAAACAAAAGGGCTCAGGGAAGGCTTCACACTGAACAGTGAGACTTCCCTCAGCCTCCTTCCCCTGCAGATCCAGAGTGCCAGCAGCCAGGTTTAAACTCTTCGGGCAGGAGATTGGAGGGTCTTCCACTTGAGAAACTGAACTGCCCAAGGAAAAAAGATCCGCAGACACTGAAATAAAGAGGTCGGCTATCTGCCAGGCACGGTGGCTCATGCCTGTAATCTCAGCACTTTGGGGGGCTGAGGTGGGTGGATCACCTGAGGTCAGGAGTTCAAGATCAGCCTGGCTAACATAGCAAAACTGCATCTCTACTAAAAATACAAAAATTAGCCAGACATGGTGGCGCACACCTGTAATCCCAGCTACTCAGGAGACTGAGGAAGGAGGATTGCTTGAACTCAGGAGGCAGAGGTTGCAGTGAGCTGAGATGGTGCCATTGCACTCCAGCCTGGGCAACAGAGCAAGACTCCATCTCAAAAAGGAAAAAGAGGTCAACTATCAAAAAGTTAATTTGCCATCTGATTCGCCTGTCTATAATGAAACCCACTGATTTACAAGCTTGGCCAATACATTCCAGGGTTTTTCTAGGAACTCTTTCCTACATATATTTAGCTAAGGATGCTCGTGCATTTGAATAAAGCTTATTCTATAAAAGAAAGAGAGGAAAAAAGAATATATACTTATATTTTTTATAAGGAGGGGGTACCCTGAAGAAACAGAGACAATGCAGGATACAAAAGAATAAAAACTTTTAACCTTACAATTCATATTCTCAAAGAGATACAAGAAACATATTCCAGCCATTTAACAATTGCAGGATGCTAGTTTTAAAAAGAGAGGATAATTTTTTTAAAAGGAGAAACTTTTAAACATCACTTAAAAGATAGAAAAAATTAAAAGAGTAGAAGATGAAGTAAAAGAAATTTCCGTTGCTTAAAAAAAAAAATAAGAAAGAGATGTATTAAAGAAAAATAGAAGAGCAAAAGATGGCAGTTGGGAAATCAGTCCAAGAGATCCAACATCAGATTAGTAGAAGTTTCAGAGAAAAGAAAGAAAATGGACAAGAAGATATTATCAAATTAGTAACAGGAAAAAAAAATCCGAGGACATGTATTTCCAGGGAAAAGGGCCCTTGTGCCCAGTAAAATTAATGAAAAAAACTCACATCATTCTAAGGCATGTCACATCACTGTGAAACTTCAGCACACCATGGATAAAAAGAAGATCCTAAAAGTTACCAGATAGAAAAATCAGGTAACATGCAAAAAACTGAGTATCAGAATGGCACTGGACTTCCTACGAGCAAAATTAGAAGCTAAAGGACAATGGAACAATTGCTTCAAAATTATGAGGAAAAAAGATTTAATATTTGGCCAAATTATTAATCAAGTATGTAAAACCATTTTTGCAAAATTATGACAGAAAGGGAAATCTGACATAGCTGACTCTATCTTGTGTCTAACCTCAAGCTGCCCTTCTTCATTCCTGGTCATAGGCTGAGCTTTTGAGAGCAATTTTGTTCATAGTTTAACTTAAAGCAAGGATGATAACAGCCCTTCCCAAAACTAACCCCATGCCCTCCAATTTGGTACCCAAACTATCTTTGAAAAACCAATGAAAGGCCAAAAGGTGAGTATTATGAATTATGAATTCATATGATGAATTATGCTAAGATGTATAGGCATAGTTAAATGATAATCAGCCATTGTTATGGAGGTCACAAGATTTGTAACTTCCCTGGTTATTGCTATAGATAATATCACTACTGTAGAAATTAAGATTGGTCTTTTGAGACATCTTTCCAGACTTTTCCATTTCTGGAAGCTGACTCACTCCACCTGGATCCACAACCAGTGACTCAACCAGTCTTGTGGCCCTCACCCACAGGCTGACTCAGCATCTGAGGACCACATTCCTGTAATTTCATCCCCAACCAATCAGCAGCACCCATTCCCTATCCCCCTGCCCACCAAATTCAGCCTCTGAATTTTCAGGGAGATTGATTTGAGTAATAAACTCCCATCTGCTGCTTAGCTGTCTGTATGTTTATTCAACTCTTTCTCTATTGCAATACAGCAGTCTCAGTAAAGCAGCTCCACCTGCACAGCAAGCCAGCAAGAAGGACCCACTAAGCGATCACATATATGGAAGCTACTGGACAATGTGTTCCCCCAAAACCAGGAGTAAACCAAGAAACCAAGGATACAGAAGAGGAAAGAAAAAATCAACAACAAGCAAACAGAAATCGAAAAGAGGAGAAAGATGAAGGGACTTCTTTTTTTTTTTAATT